TCGCGACAGGCTTTTCTCGAAAATAATAACTATAAACAGCTATTATGAAATGTATGCTGTCAAAACATTTTGTATGTTTCTTATTCTAACGCAATATTTCCCAGTGTAAAACATTAAAGATAACATAAGTCACCTAACTCTTCTGCACCCAACTCGTTTCAGCACCACAGCGCCACCCGCGAGAGCTCGAGACAACCAATGCACTTATTTTCTTTAACCAAATTATTCAAACAAAACGCATCAAGAACATCAAATACATCCTCTCAATAGTATTAAGTTGCCAGTTTTGCACTAGAATAGTCTTCCATGAGTGTGGAATCGCCTTTGTTCCCGGAATCGCCATAGTGACCGCTTCCCCGCGGCCATGATGTCTGATCGATGGGAATTGAACAAAGAGGATCAATTTCCGATCAACGAGAGAGCCGCTTTAATCAATGGGAGAAGAGAGCTCCAAAAGCGGCCACAAACACCGGCAAAGAGGGGCTCAAGAGCGAATCCACAACTCGACAACGGTTTCCCACGCATAAGGCTTCAAGAAAGCAGAGAAACTTTAAGGAAAAAGGCTGACCTGCAGCTGCTGTAAATCAAAGCGCTTCCAATATTGAAACATCGATCCCGCATTGGCCGCCATCTTGAGACATATTGAGACGGAGTGAGAGGCTGATACAGAGAGAGCGAGGGGCTGGAGTTCAGTAAAAAGGAGGGGGAGCGCGCGCAAAACACGGAGCGGAGCAATTGAACAGGGACATCGCTTATTGAACATGGGCGCGGAATGGAGTTATTGAACATGAACCTGTGATATTGAATAGGGCCCCGGATTGGAACTATTGAACGGGAGTTGGCAATTTCTTTAACAGCTAAAACATGGGATGGATTTTCCATGTAGATCGTGAACAATGCATACAGATTTGTTGTCGAGTGTGTGTTTTGGACAGATGTTATTAGTTTTTCGACATGTGATTGCCAATATTGCTATTTCATATAGCCTACTCTCCATTAGGCTATGCATGAGTAATGTAGTATTAGCCTACTCATGTTTTACATGTAGCTTATTATTTCGAATATTCTTTCTGTAGGCTAATTTTTGTGTGCTACTTATTCATCATCGCTCAATTGCATTTATAAATTGTTGGATTAAGATTATCATTCTATAATATTGACATGACACCACCAATCAATTGACTGGTAGTGTTATGGTGGTCCTCTGTAGCTCAATTGGTAGCGCATGGCGCTTGTAACGCCAGGGTAGTGGGTTCGATCCCCGGGACCACCCACCCATACGTAAAAATGTATGCACACATGACTGTAAGTCGCTTTGGATAAGCGTCTGCTAAATGGTGTATTATTATTTATAGTGTGGATATTTGTTGATAAAAAAGAAAACAGTATTTTAATTAGGCCTATAGTTGGATGACGTTATTTTTAGGTTGTTAAGTTTCGATATTAGAAAGGAATCAAATTAAACATGATCATGTACTTTAAGGTATTTAAGAATAACACTTTGATAGGAGGTTAGAACTATTTGATTATAAATTATTTCCTGCGCGGAATATTTTACATGGACTTTATTTAGTAAATGTAGTGACTGTGATGTATAGTTTGCATTGTAAAAACATTCATATATTTTAAATATTTGACTGCATGGCCGAATGTTTTATCAATACTTCAGCGGTCTCAGCAATGTGTGCTTGAATTTGAACTTGAATTTGGGAGAGCAGCGCCCCTGTAGATCTGAAATGGGAATACAAGCAATCTGCTGTAATTTATTATTTTAATCTTGTGCTGTATATATACTATTCTACTTTGAATGGAAAGTTTCCTTATTTTTTCTTTAAAATCCATTCACAACACATTTTCTCAGTCTTGTATGTAGAAAAATAGCCTAAAGTCAATTTAAATAATTTAATCACAACTTTGATGTATTTGTTTTTGTTTATTATAGAGCATAGAAACACATGTCAAGTAACTCATGCAAAACTTTAACACATTTAAGAACTTGAATATTGCTGGATTTCAGTTGGAATTATTTTAAAGTCTCCAATAAAAATAATAATGTAATCACAGTGATTATAAAACAAAGTATTGTTCACTGCTGCACAGTATACTATTGATAGAATGATTTATTTGTGTTGGTACAGCAGGCCTGAATGTTGTGTTATCTTTTCATATATATTGTTTCCCTTATTCACACTCTGTTCCACATTGTTATGCTGATAAACATTACATATATGTATATAATATAAACTTGCATTTGTATTTTGCACTTTTGCTAAACCCTGCATAGTGTATAATGATACATTTAGCTGTCATAGAAGCAACCATTTTCCCAGACTATTTGTATGTAATTTTACAAGAATGTTTGCTTCAATGATAAACTGGGAAATTTCCATTTTGTTACATTTGCAGGAAACAATATAGCCTGTCTTAGTTACCATAGAATCAGAGGCTGTTTTGGCCAGCCACAATTACTCCTGTTGAAAATCCCTGGCTCTTAAAGTTCTTTGGCACATAAGTGGCAGAATAACTTGTTGAAAAGTAGGGGCTCTTGGGTAACGAGAAACACCAGACACATTTAACATTTAACACAATCCCATGGCACCGCATGCAAGCCCACTAGTGGAGAGGGAAATGCATACTTGTTCGACCCCGTCATTTGATGCATGTAACCGTACATGTATTTAAGATCCCCCATAAGACCTAGCGCACCATTGGAATGCAGACCAAACTAGTCTGTTCTCCTAAATGTATGAAATGTATAATCCCACCCGCTCAGACAGACATTGTGTTATCTAATGAATCATTCTAAGAAGCAAAGAGCACATGAATGCCTTTAGGTGAAACATCTGTGGATTCTATTAAACTACAAAATTGCCTGCCAATTTATGCAGCCGATGAACTGATGTACTCAAACGAGTTATCTTTGACTACTTCATTTCAAATTCCATACATTTGGAAGGCTACCAAATGCATCTCACACCTAAGCCAACCATACGATAGAGTCCATTTATTCATAGTGAGTCCAAACCTCCTAAAATCCCTCCTAAAACTCCTGTCAGCTCATTCATGGCTGCACTTTCCGTTTATGAGTTACTTTTTCCCCCTTCACCCGCATACATTTCCTGTCAGTTAATGCTTGGGCTGGGTGGGGTGCACAGTGATTAGAATCAAACCTGAAAGACAGGCCAGCTTGCCCTTTTCCATTGCAGCCATGGATATCATTAGTGAAAGAAAGAGAGAGACACCTTGTCAGTATTATCTCACCATGTCTGTTGTCATGCACTTTCCCCCACTAGAACCCTCCCTGGCCGAGGGAGTGGTCTAGAACAATCTCAATTGAATGAGTAGAGTAGTAGAACTTACAAAGGCAAACAAACACTCATACGTACACTACAGACAGATCGGTTGACAGATAGACAAACAGATGACACACACAAACACACACACACACACAATGACATAATCATGGAGAATATATGCATCTCTCGCTTTCTCTTTTAGAGGATTTATTCCAATGAAATGCTCAACTCATAATGAGACTAATGGCTCTATTCAATCCATGTAGTTACATTTCTGAATGGAGAAATTAAGCTAGACTTGTGCAGAAATGTTGAACAAATGCATGCTGTCCTATCTCCAGAAGGAGGTTTTAAAGAGGAGAAATTACAGTAATCGAAGACAATCCTGGATAAATTTTTTCTGAAAGCTCTTCAGATTTAAATGCATGTATCACTTTTTCTCTCCCCACACATGTAAGAGTAGAATTGATAAGATACAAGGATTAGAGTTGAGGAGCTCGTCCGGAGAGAGAGGCGAGTATAGCTCGCTTAGGCTATCTCTCAGAGGAGCGATAGCTCGTCGCGCTCGTCTCGCGAGAGATCTCTCTCCTCTCTCTAGCATACTAGGCTATCTCTCTTTCTCTCTCTTCTCTCTTCTCTTTTTCTCCCTTTCACATCCCCTCCTCCCCCCTCTCTCTATCTCTTTCTCTACCCTTCCTGTCTCTCTTCCCCTCTTTCTCGCTCATTTCCTCTTTCTCTCACTCTTTCTCTAAACGTTGAGTGAGTCTCATAGATCCACAGCGTCATCATTCCTGGCCTCATCAGGGCAGTACATTTAAAGGTAATCATGCATGTGAGTGCATCAGTATCGCAGGGACCAGCTAGCTCCTCTCTTTCTCTCTCTTAGCTCCGGGAGCTATCTTTGACTTAACAAGGAGGCCCATCGGTGTGACGATTGTGTTTGCGCAGGGGAAGATGGGAACTGAACAGACATGGATTGGCAAACTGGATGAAGGAGCGTTCCCTCACGTCTCTTGCCAGAAAATAAAGAAATAGAGAGAGCGAGAGGAAAGAAGGAGAAAGGTGGGGGTAGATGTGGGAGGGGGGCTTTATGATGATTAATTATGTTTGGGTTTCCCCAATTAAAATTGAAAATTACAGTTAATCAACCTGCCAATGTGGTGTGCTGCGATGGAGAATGGTACCAACGTTGGCTTAACATGTAGAGGATGATGTACAGCAGTGAATAACTAACTGTAAGTCGCTCTGGGATAAGAGCGTCTGCTAAATGACTAAAATGTAAAAATGTAATAGCCCTCAAAGGGGTATTAATAGTAGCATACACGCATCATATTTCTTAAAATTGAATTCCTATTCAAAATGACAGTACATTATGTACTGAAACTGTAGAGATAAAAATATAGAAATTGTGCCATGGGCTAATTCAAACAAAGCATTGCTGTGCCAATGGAACACAACAATAGCTGTGACATGCTGAATGAACACAGGCCATGAGGGAACTGAGAAGGAGACGCTTTCCTGTCCCCATCTCCCCTGGCTGGGCTCCCTCATGTGACTGTCAGACAGTCACACACACACACAAACATTCATACAAGTGTGCAGGGGAAGGGAGGAAGCCAGAGGGGGGAGAGGGGGAACAGAGGAAGCAGTGTAACCCAGGTACAGTAAGAGGAAAGAGGGAGAGAGGTGCCGTGTTGAAGTATTATGCAGAAGGGAGAGGGAGAGAAGGAGCAGAAGTATAGCTCACACATGAGGAGAGAGAGAAAGGGGAAAGAAGAGAGCAGAAATCATACAGGGGAAGAGAGGGAGAGTGCAGCAGAGGGAGCTGTAGTAGACAGTAGCCCAGGCGTGCAGTGCTGTGAAGTGCGGTGCTGAGAAGGGCATTGGGAGTTAAGGAGGGCCCCAGAAGACTCCTGCGGCTCTATGCTCCTCCCCTCTCCTCAGCGAGGGGCTCAGGGAGCATTCAGCCCAGTGCCTTCCCCCCCACTGGCAATTTGTTTTCCTAATCCACCAGAGCCTGGTGCTACCACTACCACTACCGCTGCTGCCCCTCTCTCTCCCCCTTTCTCGCTCTCCCTGTCTCTCTCTCCCCCTCTCTCTCTCTCCCCCTTTCTCACTCTCCCTCTCTCTCTCTCCCCCTTTCTCCCTCTCCCTCTCTCTCTCTCCCTCTCTCCCTCTAACAGGCAGGGCCCCCTCGAGAGCCCAATTAGGGCCGTCTCCCCCACACGCAGATCTACCCAGGACTCCCCACTTCTCCTCCTCGTCTTTTTTTAATCAAATAAGACTCCTCTAGAGGCCAGTCTTCGTTTTAAGGAGACAGCATTCTGGATTAAATTTTAATTAAGGAAATATTAGCCTTTTAGAAGACATCGGAAATGAATGGAATTGGGAGGGCGAGGGGAAAGCCACCCAGCGAGGTTTGTGTGCTTCTCTGTGGGAGTGTTTGTATGTAGATGGAATGTAAATCATATTATAGTGCCATTATTGGTACAAGTAGAGGTTCATCATTGGAATAAATTGAAAGCTTATTAATGTCATATAATTTTGCATTACTATATATCAGACAGAAATTATTGTTTATTTCTGTGGGATAAATAGACGTTATTTTTGTACAAGATAATAAGGTACTTAACCTAAATATGTAAACAAGGTGAATGGATTAACATCTAAAATGGAGGTTCATCCACTCTCTACCTGGTTATGTTAAGTTTCACTGTAAATTGAGACGGGATCAAGCGTGACCAGTGCCTTTCTCCGGGAATACATTGCCATCTACTGACAATCATGTGAAAATACAATTTAGCTGAGGTAAATATCATTTTGGAGCAGATAGCTAAACCACTTACAGTATACATAGTCATAAACATATTTTCACCCTCCAAAAAATCTTTGTTAATGCACAGTACCGTACCTTTGCCTGATCTTGCATTATCTCTGCAGAATCTAGGAGTTCTCCCTTTCATTCACCTTCTGTAATGATTCAAGCTTGCCCTCCTTGGCAGAGGTTTTGCCATATTGCTTACTCTTATCCAATCCTCTCAGATCTCCACAAGTGTTAAGGGGGCAATTTAGGTTAGGGTGTCTGCCAAAAGGCTTCTCAACAGCTTCTACCCCCAAGCCATAAGACTCCTGAACAGCTAATCATGGCTTCCCGGACTATTTGCACTGCCCCCCCCACCCCCACCCCATCCCCATCTTTTACGCTGCTGCTACTCTGTTTATTATTTATGCATAGTCACTTTAAATCTACCCACATGTACATATTATCTCAATTACCTCGACTAGCCGGTGCCCCCGCACATTCACTCTGCACCGGTACCCCCCTGTATATAGCCTCCCTACTGTTATTTTACTGCTGCTATTTAGTTATTTGCTTTTATTCTTTAAAAATAATAAAAATGCACTGTTGGTTAAGGGCTTGTAAGTAAGCATTTCACTGTAATGTCTACACCTGTATTTGGCACATGTGGCAAATAAAATTTGATTTGATTTGTGGTCCTCTGTAGCTCAGCTGGTAGAGCACTGCGCTTGTAATGCCAAGGTAGTGGGTTCGATCCCCGGGACCACCCATACACAAAAAAAGTAAAAATGTATGCACGCATGACTGTAAGTCGCTTTGGATAAAAGCGCCTGCTAAATGGCATATTATTATTTAGTAGCTTGTTGTCAATTTCACAGTCACCTACTGCAGTTTAATCACCAGGGGGCGCCAAAGACCCGACTGATAGAGTGGCCTATAATAAGTTGAGCTGGCCAAAGCCCTTTGACAACAGAGTGAGCTGCAGGTGGTTCAGATGGATCGTTGGCCTTTACCACTGTCAGGGGATTAGCCAACACACTCTAAACATTTACTGGGAAAGGTTTAACAATAGGGACTACACGCAAAGGTGTGCATACTCTCACAAGACTAAATACTAACTTGAGAGATGCATGAACAAGTATGGGGAGAATTATTGAAGTGATTGACATGCCTGGTAGTGTGGTCCTGTTGGCCACACAGATTATGTGAATACAGTGATTGACAGGGCTGGGTGGCAATGGGGGAGGGCCTTGAGGGTGCAAGAATAATGAAGTGATTCACAGCGCTGGCCAGTTTTATGTGTCCGTCACATGCCTGGAAGGAGCCCAAGCCGTCTGTGTTATTGGAGGAATGCAGTGCCCATGACATTGTTGCCCCTGGAGACCTTGACTCCTCTCCGCTCCCTCTGCTTGTAGCAGCACCGAACATGGACACAACCCCCCAGTGGTCCTCTGGGGGAAAAAATCTTCACCCTGTTGGTTCACGCAATGGCGTGCCAGGGACCACAGCAATAGGACATTCTCCACAGTCTCCCCAAGCCCATTCTCTGAGGCACGTTATACGAGAAATGTTTTACTGTACACGCATGCACAGTCACACACACGCACACACACACACACCTATCACTCAGCTAAAACAGACCTCTCTCCAAGGTTGCTTAGCTGTGGAGATGAGTTACTGCTGTCTGACAGAACAATGGTCACCTGTTTTCCACACAAACATAAAGTGCCGCCAGCACAACAGTGGTCCATGTCTGTACAACTGAGGTCAATAGGAGCTATTTTCTTGCTTGACTGTTCAATTTGAAGGGCTTATGTTTCTATCAAGAATCTGGTGTTTGGCTTATACAACCCAGACACCTATAAGCTGCCAATAATGACATTCTTTGGTCCCAAAATACTGTTTCAGAAACAAATGTTGAGCAGTGAGCACAACTGAATTGGTTCACAATAGTGAGCTATGTTGAGAGTGCAGCTGACATGAGCTACGTCGATGTTATTTCCTGTACTCATCTCTGCAGTGAATGCTAAATGAATTGTTCAACTTCCTAAAGAAATATCTTAGGGGTTGATTATAACGTTTAAATGTGAGACAATACAATGGTCTAGTGATCAACAAAGCCCTGTGACCTCAGTGACCTTAGCCATTCCATGGTGTCCAACCCTCCTATTAGTGAAAAGCCACACCAGAGCTGTTCAAAGTGTCTCCTTCCACCGCAAACTAGACAAGGGCATCAATTCATTACCGTGGTAATCTGGCGGGCTGAGACGTGGTGTCGCACCCGGCCTAACTACAGGACCTGTGAAGTCTGAGGCATTGACACATACTCACAACTACCCACACCCCCCCTCCTCGAGGATAGGGGTCGGATATGACTGTCTGATCGTGCCCCCTGCTCCTAAGATAAGGTGTCACATAAACAGTTCAGAGCCACAGCACCCCTGCATGGGTCAATTACAATGGGTGGCTGGGGGCTGTGGGTGTTAGTCCTTTATATGGCTGGCATGCCTTGGGTAACGTCCCCCCATTGTCTAAACATAGCGCAGGTGGGCAGAGGAGCCAAGTGTGTCGCTATATAAGTGACCTGGGTCACTTTTTAGTGTCCTCTCAAGCGTAAGTGAACAACTGAGAAGCTCCTAACATAATGGTAAGAATGACACCTCCCTCACTCTCTCCTCTCTACTTGTCTTCATCTTCACCTTGGGGTTAACTAAGTGTCTCAATTTCATGGTGTATAGGATGCTTAGAGTTCTTGGAGAAGCTAAGTTTACTTCAGAAGTAGACAGGTGTTGATGTATTAAATGCATTTATTAAGACTCTATTTAGTGATGTATTCAAGGAGAGAACACTCTTGTTTATTTGATAACAGCTGTGGGGAATGGTAAATTGACGGAGTACATTTCTTGCCAATTGTAATTAAAATCCCCAACTGTAGTGATGGGGAGCTTGATTGCATACCAAACATGTTTAAATGATAAGAAGAACAAAAATCTTGGAAGGTTACTAAGAACTGTGATTATTAGGTCTTATAAAAGTAGGACCTAATAATAATATGCCCTAACCATCTCCACAGTGTATCCAATCAATGTCAATAGCAGGAACGCCATTCAAATTGTTCATCATTTTTGGGGGTGCCGACTCTGTTGATTTCAACACTTGACCTCTACTACAGTGTTATAAACGTTTGTGACTGTGGCTCTTCAATATTGAAAGCTCTGCATGTTCTAAAAGTGATACGTTTATTTAGAGATATTAATAGCCATGTAGTTTTGTGACCGCATGCTGTGCTCTGTAGTTCAATGTTAGATGTTCATAGTTTTGGTTGTGCATTTGAAATGAACAAAACCCAGCAAATGTAATTTATGTCATTATTGTTACTTATTATTATTCATTATAATTAAGCAATAAGGCCCAAGGGGGTGTGGTATATGGCCAATATACCACGGCTAAGGGTTGTTAATATACCACAAACCCCAGAGGTGCCTTATTGCTATTATAAACTGGTTACCAATGTGATTAGAGCAGTAAAAATAAATGTTTTGTCATACCTGTGGTATACGGTCTGATATACCACGGCTGTCAGCCAATCAGCATTCAGGGCTCGAACCGCCCAGTCTATAACAGTCAATAAATGATTACTGTTATATTACATGATACTGTCAAATAATTCAAAATTAAAGTCAATGTATGCAATCTGTATCGAAATGTATGCACACTGTTGTTATTCATCATAACCTCAAAGTAATAGCCATTTCCCTGTGTATCTCAGTCACCCAAAAAGGCAAAGAAGAAGGCAGCAGAGGCCAGCTCCAATGTGTTCTCCATGTTTGAGCAAGCCCAGATCCAGGAGTTCAAGGAAGCTTTCACCATCATGGACCAGAACAGAGACGGTTTCATTGACAAGAGTGACCTGAGGGACACATTCTGTGCGCTGGGTGAGCTAAGGCGAATGCTTACTCCTCTGGAGAATGGCCCTTTGCAGTATAAAATTGGTGGTGAAGTTATCTTCCTTGGACAAGAAGTTACAGTAGTTTTAATGCCCCTCCCTCTGTCCTCCAGATACAGTGGGGAAAAAAGTATTTAGTCAGCCACCAATTGTGCAAGTTCTCCCACTTAAAAAGAGGAGAGAGGCCTGTAATTTTCATCATAGGTACACGTCAACTATGACAGACAAAATGAGAAGAAAAAAATCCAGAAAATCACATTGTAGGATTTTTAATGAATTTATTTGCAAATTATGGTGGAAAATAAGTATTTGGTCAATAACAAAAGTTTCTCAATACTTTGTTATATACCCTTTGTTGGCAATGACACAGGTCAAACGTTTTCTGTAAGTCTTCACAAGGTTTTCACACACTGTTGCTGGTATTTTGGCCCATTCCTCCATGCAGATCTCCTCTAGAGCAGTGATGTTTTGGGGATGTCGCTGGGCAACACAGACTTTCAACTCCCTCCAAAGATTTTCTATGGGGTTGAGATCTGGAGACTGGCTAGGCCACTCCAGGACCTTGAAATGCTTCTTACGAAGCCACTCCTTCGTTGCCCGGGCGGTGTGTTTGGGATCATTGTCATGCTGAAAGACCCAGCCACGTTTAATCTTCAATGCCCTTGCTGATGGAAGGAGGTTTTCACTCAAAATCTCACGATACATGGCCCCATTCATTCTTTCCTTTACACGGATCAGTCGTCCTGGTCCCTTTGCAGAAAAACAGCCCCAAAGCATGATGTTTCCACCCCCATGCTTCACAGTAGGTATGGTGTTCTTTGGATGCAACTCAGCATTCTTTGTCCTCCAAACACGACGAGTTGAGTTTTTACCAAAAAGTTATATTTTGGTTTCATCTGACCATATGACATTCTCCCAATCCTCTTCTGGATCATCCAAATGCACTCTAGCAAACTTCAGACGGGCCTGGACATGTACTGGCTTAAGCAGGGGGACACGTCTGACACTGCAGGATTTGAGTCCCTGGCGGCGTAGTGTGTTACTGATGGTAGGCTTTGTTACTTTGGTCCCAGCTCTCTGCAGGTCATTCACTAGGTCCCCCCGTGTGGTTCTGGGATTTTTGCTCACCGTTCTTGTGATCATTTTGACCCCACGGGGTGAGATCTTGCGTGGAGCCCCAGATCGAGGGAGATTATCAGTGGTCTTGTATGTCTTCCATTTCCTAATAATTGCTCCCACAGTTGATTTCTTCAAACCAAGCTCCTTACCTATTGCAGATTCAGTCTTCCCAGCCTGGTGCAGGTCTACAATTATGTTTCCTGTGTCCTTTGACAGCTCTTTGGTCTTGGCCATAGTGGAGTTTGGAGTGTGACTGTTTGAGGTTGTGGGCAGGTGTCTTTTATACTGATAACAAGTTCAAACAGGTGCCATTAATACAGGTAACGAGTGGAGGACAGAGGAGCCTCTTAAAGAAGAAGTTACAGGTCTGTGAGAGCCAGAAATCTTGCTTGTTTGTAGGTGACCAAATACTTATTTTCCACCATAATTTGCAACTAAATTCATAAAAAATCCTACAATGTGATTTTCTGGATTTTTTCTCCTCAAATTGTCTGTCATAGTTGACGTGTACCTATGATGAAAATTACAGGCCTCTCTCCTCTTTTTAAGTGGGAGAACTTGCACAATTGGTGGCTGACTAAATACTTTTTTCCCCCACTGTATTTCCAATGAGTGTAATGATTGCTTCCTTAAAACGTCTACATTTATATTGAGAATGACTGATCCAAACAACAATCTCTGACCATAACACCTGTGCTGCTCAGAGTAATGTATTTAGAGAGTTGGGCCATTTAGGTTTCTACATTATGATGCACTTACATCACACAACATTATATGGCAGCCATGTTAGCACCCATTAACATTACATGGGAATATAATGTCTACAGTCGTGGTCAAAAGTTTTGAGAATGACACAAATACTAATTTTCACAAAGTCTGCTGCCTCAGTTTTGATGATGGCAATTTGCATATACTCCAGAATGTCATGAAGTGATCAGATGAATTGCAATTAATTGCAAAGTCCGTCTTTGCCATGAAAATGAACTTAATCCCAAAAAAACATTTCCACTGCATTTCAGCCCTGCCACAAAAGGACCAGCTGCCATCATGTCAGTGATTCTCTCGTTAACACAGGTGAGAGTGTTGACGAGGACAAGGCTGAAGATCACTCTGTCATGCTGATTGAGTTAGAATAACAGACTGGAACCTTTAAAAGGAGGGTGGTGCTTGAAATCATTGTTCTTCCTCTGTTAACCATGGTTACCTGCAAGGAAACACGTGCCATCATCATTGCTTTGCACAAAAAGGGCTTCACAGGCAAGGATATTGCTGCTAGTAAGATTGCACCTCAAGATTGCATGGATCATCAAGAAATTCAAGGAGAGAGGTTCAATTGTTGTGAAGAAGGCGTCAGGGCGCCCAAGAAAGTCCAGCAAGCGCCAGGACCGTCTCCTAAAGTTGATTCAGCTGCGGGATCGGGGCACCACCAGTGCAGAGCTTGCTCAGGAATGGCAGCAGGCAGGTGCGAGTGCATCTGCACGCACAGTGAGGTGAAGACTTTTGGAGGATGGCCTGGTGTCAAGAAGGGCAGCAAAGAAGCCACCTCTCTCCAGGAAAAACATCCTGGACAGACTGATATTCTGAAAAAGGTACAGGGATTGGACTGCTGAGGACTGGGGTCAAGTAATTTTCTCTGATGAATCCCCTTTCTGATTGTTTGGGGCATCCGGAAAACACCTTGTCCGGAGAAGACAAGGTGAGCGCTACCATCAGTCCTGTGTCATGCCAACAGTAAAGCATCCTGAGACCATTCATGTGTGGGGTTGCTTCTCAGCCAAGGGAGTGGGCTCACTCACAATTTTGCCTAAGAACACAGCCATGAATAAAGAATGGTACCAACACATCCTCCGAGAGCAACTTCTCCCAACCATCCAAGAACAGTTTGGTGACGACCAATGCCTTTTCCAGCATGATGGAGTACCTTGCCATAAGGCAAAGGTGATAACTAAGTGGCTCAGGGAACAAAACATCGACATTTTGGGTCCATGGCCAGGAAACTCCCCCGACCTTAATCCCATTGAGAACTTGTGGGTGGACAAACAAAAACCCACACATTCTGACAAACTCCAAGTATTGATTATGCAAGAATGGGCTGCCATCAGTCAGGATGTGGCCCAGAAGTTAACTGACAGCATGCCAGGGCAGATTGCAGAGGTCTTGAAAAAGAAGGGTCAACACTGCAAATATTGACTCTTTGCATAAACTTAATGTAATTGTCAATAAAAGCCTTTGACACTTATGGAATGCTTGTAATTATACTTCAGTATACCATAGTAACATCTGACAAAAATATCTCATAACACTGAAGCAGCGAACTTTGTTTGACCACGACTGTATAATGAGCATTATGAGCCATTTACATGACACTTCAAAATTATACGGCAGCCATGTTAGCGCCCCATTAATATTACATAAACGTTCAAAGAGTGCTACTTTCTCCTCCATAGCCGTTGCTAAGTAATAATTGACACTTCTGCATTGTGCTGTTTATTTCTGAGAGTTTTCAAAACCTATGAAGATGTCCAGTGAAACCATATATGCAATTTGTTGACACCACAAGTCCACAACACATTACAGACTTGGATACACATTATCCAGAATGCTAATCAATTAATAGTCTGTTAAATTCGCTGCTCTGTTTTGCTTGTTTACAGTTGGTCATTCCATAGGGAACTGGCGGAGGCGCTCTCATACTATTATTACATTACCAACATTTTGAGAATAAAGGTGTTAACATGGCAGCCATTCTAAAACCTGGCCAAACTCTCTATATATATGACTCTGATGCTATGTAACTGAATGTCTAGAATTAGAACAATATTCAACATTATAAAAGTTGGCCCAACTCTCTGAATAATACATGGCTCTGGTGCACTTTCCCACTGTCCCCACCTTGTCATGTGAGTTGTCCCACTGATCTCTGACCTGTATTGCTTCCTATCCTGTGTGTCTCTGCAGGCCGTCTTAACGTGGGTAATGATGAGCTGGACGAGATGCTAAAGATGGCCCCTGGACCTATCAACTTCACCATCTTCCTCTCCATGTTCGGCGAGAAGCTGAAAGGTCAGGCAACACCACTGTATGGCCCACAAATTTACATTTTAGCAGTCATTTTAGTCATTTAGCAGATGCTCTGGTCTTATCCAGAGCGACTTACAGTTAGTGAATGCATACATTTTTTATACTGGCCCCCCGTGGGAATCAAACACACAACCCTGGCGTTGCAAACGCCATGCACTACCAACTGAGCTACATCCCTGCCGGCCATTCCCTCCCCTGGGCCACCCCATAGGTCTCCCGGTCACGGCCTGCTACAACAGAGCCTGGATTCGAACCAGGATCTCTAGTGGCACAGCTAGCACTGCGATGCAGTTCCTTAGACCACTGCGCCACTAGGGAGGCCTTACATGTCATATATGGTGCATCACATGTAAACTGAAACATTATGACTAGCTATTGCTTACAACAATCATATATTCAGACCGACATGAGGCAAATTACTATTTTCCTCAGTGATATCTTTTCACGGTGCACTGTTTAGAGACACCAGCTGTATGTCTGAAAAAAGTGTCCTCTCTCAGGTACCGACCCCGAGGAGACCATTATTAATGCCTTCAAGATCTTCGACCCCGAGGGACAGGGAGTCCTCAAGGGAGAGGAGTAAGGACTTTATTAATTCTAATACCGTTAAACGTTACAACAGTACCTGTAGCTCTTTCCCGTCATTGGTACGCAGTACAGTTAGTAATGATCGAATTCCTAAAATGATCTAATTAGTCGCTTTAGGAATTATTCAATAAGTCAATAGCTACTGCAGTAATAGATAAGGCATTAGAATTGCTTTTGAAAAATTACTAAATTCTAATCTATTGAACCTCTTTTTTGTGGTTGCTGATAATTACCCATCAATGATAGTTTCAGTAGTTTTATACATTCTTCTAGAATAATGTGACCTTTTCTTGTGGAATGTCACGTGTTTTAATAAATAATTAAGGAAAAAAGTGTAACTTCTTGGAGCCAACTCTGAAAAAATAACTCACCGTCACGGTTGATGTACTGTACCTAACAAGTCATAATTTTCCTTTCCAGTATCAAATATTACATCATGTCTCAGGCGGACAAGTTCACCGAAGCTGAGGTAATGTCCTTCTCCCAGGTTTCTGCGGCTCAGTGGGATTTGTGTTTGGAATCAGTTGACTTATACTGGTTGACTCATTCCTCATTTCCTGTCAGAGTCCCATCCATCACACAGGTCCATTTCATAGACTTTATCTCTAACCCACTTATCGCTGACCCTGAGCCCCATCAGGACCCAGTAAAGCTATGGAACAAACGCTTCCCTCAGACCATCTGCTCCTCACAAAACAGATCATGTATTCCATAACAAAGACAGTGAATCTGATCAGAGCCCCCATCCAGAGCACTGTCCCATTCTAACTATGTACAGGAGCCCTATCTACTTACAGTGAGCTTACGCAGTCCTATTATGAGTCCCTTGGAGACAATGGAATTTATTTCTTAAAAGCATATTGATGTACTCACAGAAATAACTTGCATTCATTTTGCATGTGTGTGTATCATGGTTCGTTTTCATAGTATAAAGCAAAACCGTGAGTGGATATTTCGGTCTCATCTCGGCTTATTCAAAGAAGGCCACATCGTGACTTGAGATGCATGTGTGTTCACTTTTATTTCAACTAACGATACACACCAAGTTCAGCTTGGAGTGCAAAAGGGCTAGGTTAATGTATTATTAGCATTAGGTGAAAACAGTGACCAACCAGTTTTTCAACCCATGACATTGCATGACCTTTGTGTGCTTTACCCTTCCAGGTTGAAGACATGTTCACAAACTTCCCCCTGGACGTCGCCGGCAATCTGGACTACAAGAACCTGTGCTACGTTATCACCCACGGAGAGGAAAAGGAGTCGGAGTAAAGGAGCCAATCACAAACTCTCAATCCCCCAACCAATCACCTTGGACTGCCCACTACACATCATCGCCCTGTACACATGACTTGTTTCCTTTTCCACATCTCACTTTCCCCACAATAAAAACCTAATAAAAACGAGGCATTGTATCATTTGAACTCCAAGATGACTGTGTTGAAATTGAAGAGTTGACTGGGTTCAGAGGTAATGCTGAACAATGTCTTCTATGTGAGATGGGAATAGCCTTATGCATATTTCAGACACCCTCAAGTCGCAGGGGTTCACAGAGGTTAAGTGCAAGAAGAAGAGTGCTAATAGGGATACACATTAAATGTAATGCTTCAGGTTGCCCTTACACAATAGGAGTTAGGTGACTGATATGTCTATATTCAGATTCAGCCTCTCTGTCCCATTTGTCCATTGTGTTACAATACATCACTGCTCACAGTAATTACAGAAAATTACTAGGAATGTGAGACTCAGATAGGACAAGCAGCGAGCCAGAATACATTGCATTGTGCATGTAAAATCAAATCACATTTTATTTGTCACATGCGCTGAATACAACAGGTGTAGACCTTACCGTGAAATGCGTACTTAACCAACAATGCAGTTCAAGAAATACAGTTAAGAAAATATTTACTACATAAACTAAAGTAAAAAATAAAATAAAAAGTAACACAATAAAATACCAATAACGAGGCTATATACAGGGGGTACCGGTACCAAGTTAATATGCGGGGGTACAGGTTAGTCGAGGTAATTTGTACATGTAGGTAGGGGTAAAGTGACTATGCATAGATAATAAACAGCGAGTAGCAGCAGCGTAAAAACAAAGGGGGGGGGGGGGGGGGGGGGGGGGGTCAATGTAAATAGTCCGGGTGGCCATTTGATTAATTGTTCAGCAGTCTTATGGCTTGGGGGTAGAAGCTATTAAGGAGCCTTTTGGACCTAGACTTGGCGCTCCAGTGCCGCTTGCCGTGCGGTAGCAGAGAGAACAGTCTATGACGGGTGACTGGAGTTTTTGACAATTTTTTGGGCCTTCCTCTGACACCGCCTAGCATATACAGTGGGGAAAAAAAGTATTTAGTCAGCCACCAATTGTGCAAGTTCTCCCACTTAAAAAGATGAGAGAGGCCTGTAATTTTCATCATAGGTACACGTCAAGTATGACAGACAAATTGAGGGAAAACAATCCAGAAAATCACATTGTAGGATTTTTTATGAATTTAGTTGCAAATTATGGTGGAAAATAAGTATTTGGTCACCTACAAACAAGCAAGATTTCTGGCTCTCACAGACCTGTAACTTCTTCTTTAAGAGGCTCCTCTGTCCTCCACTCGTTACCTGTATTAATGGCAACTGTTTGAACTTGTTATCAGTATAAAAGACACCTGTCCACAACCTCAAACAGTCACACTCCAAACTCCACTATGGCCAAGACCAAAGAGCTGTCAAAGGACACCAGAAACAAAATTGTAGACCTGCACCAGGCTGGGAAGACTGAATCTGCAATAGGTAAGCAGCTTGGTTTGAAGAAATCAACTGTGGGAGCAATTATTAGGAAATGGAAGACATACAAGACCACTTATAATCTCCCTCAATCTGGGGCTCCACGCAAGATCTCACCCCGTGGGGTCAAAATGATCACAAGAACGGTGAGCAAAAATCCCAGAACCACACGGGGGGACCTAGTGAATGACCTGCAGAGAGCTGGGACCAAAGTAACAAAGCCTACCATCTGTAACACACTACGCCGCCAGGGACTCAAATCCTGCAGTGCCAGACGTGTCCCCCTGCTTAAGCCAGTACATGTCCAGGCCCGTCTGAAGTTTGCTAGAGTGCATTTGGATGATCCAGAAGAGGATTGGGAGAATGTCATATGGTCAGATGAAACCAAAATAGAACATTTTGGTAAAAACTCAACTCGTCGTGTTTGGAGGACAAAGAATGCTGAGTTGCATCCAAAGAACACCATACCTACTGTGACGCATGGGGGTGGAAACATCATGCTTTGGGGCTGTTTTTCTGCAAAGGGACCAGGACGACTGATCCGTGTAAAGGAAAGAATGAATGGGGCCATGTATCGTGAGATTTTGAGTGAAAACCTCCTTCCATCAGCAAGGGCATTGAAGATTAAACGTGGCTGGGTCTTTCAGCATGACAATGATCCCAAACACACCGCCCGGGCAACGAAGGAGTGGCTTCGTAAGAAGCATTTCAAGGTCCTGGAGTGGCCTAGCCAGTCTCCAGATCTCAACCCCATAGAAAATCTTTGGAGGGAGTTGAAAGTCCGTGTTGCCCAGCGACAGCCCCAAAACATCACTGCTCTAGAGGAGATCTGCATGGAGGAATGGGCCAAAATACCAGCAACAGTGTGTGAAAACCTTGATTTGAGAAACTTTTGTTATTGACCAAATACTTATTTTCCACCATAATTTGCAAATAAATTCATAAAAAATCCTACAATGTGATTTTCTGGATTTTGTTTTCGCATTTTATCTGTCATAGTTGACGTGTACCTATGATGAAAATTACAGGCCTCTCTCATCTTTTTAAGTGGGAGAACTTGCACAATTGGTGGCTGACTAAATACTTTTTTTCCCCACTGTAGGTCCTGAATGGCAGGAAGCTTGGCCCCAGTGATGTACTGGGCTGTACGCAATACCCTCTGTAGCGCCTTACGGTCGGATGCTGAGCAGTTGCCATACCAGGCAGTGATGCAACCGGTCACAATGCTCTCGATGGGTGCAGCTGTATAACTTTTTGAGGATCTGGGGACCCATGCCAAATCTTTTCAGTTTCCTGAGGTGAAAAGGCATGTGTTTGGTCCATGATAGTTTGTTGTTGATGTGGACACCAAGGAACTTGAAACTCTCGACCTGCTCCACTACAGCCCCGTCGATGTGAATGGGGGCTCTTTTCCTGTAGTCCATGTTCATCTCCTTTGTCTTGCTCACGTTAAGGGAGAGGTTGTTGTCCTGGCACCACACTGCCAGGTCTCTGAACTCCTCCCTATAGGCTGTCTCATCTGTGTTGGTGATCAGGCCTATCACCGTTGTGTCATCAGTAAACTTAATGATGGTGTTGGAGTCGTGCTTGGCCACGCAGTCGTGGGTGAACAGGGAGTACAGGAGGGGACTAAGCACGCACCCCTGAGGGGCCCCCGTATTGAAGATCAGTGTGGCAGATGTGTTGTTGCCTACCCTTACCACATGGGGGTGGCCCGTCAGGAAGTCCAGGATCCAGTTACAGAGGGAGGTGTTTAGTCCCAGGGTCCTTAGCTTAGTGATGAGCTTTGTGGGCACTATGGTGTTGAACACTGAGCTGTAGTCAATGAACAGCATTCTCACATAGGTGTTCCTTTTGTCCAGGTGGGAAAGGACAGTGTGGAGTGCGATTGAGATTATGTCATCTGTGGATCTGTTGGGGCGGTATGCGAATTGGAGTGGGTCTAGGGTTTCCGGGATGATGGTGTTGATGTGAGCCATGACCAGCCTTTCAAAGCACTTCATGGCTACCGACATGAGTGCTACAGGGCGGTAGTCATTTAGACAGGTTACCTTCGCTTTCTTGGGCACAGGGACTATGGGGGTCTGCTTGAAACACGTAGATATTAAAGACTCAGTCAGGGAGAGGTTGAAAATGTCAGTGAAAACACTTGCCAGTTGGACACTTGCATGCTCTGAGTTCACGTCCTGGTAATCCGTCTGGCTCCGCGGCCTTGTGAATGTTGACCTGTTTAAAGGTCTTGCTCACATCGGCTACGGAGAGCGTGATCACACAGTCGTCCGGAACAGCTGATGCTCTCATGCATGCTTCAGTGTTGCTTGCCTCGAAGCGAGCATAAAAGGCATTTGCCCGTCTGGTAAACTTGTGTCACTGGGCAGCTTGCGGCTGGGTTTCCCTTTGTAGTCCATAATAGTTTGCAAGCCCTGCCCACATCCGACGAGTGTCAGAGCCAGTGTAGTAGGATTCAATCTTAGTCCTATATTGATGCTTTGCCTGTTTGATGGTTCGTTTGATGGTTCGGATTAATATCCCTGTCCTTGAAAGTGGCATCTCTACCCTTTTTCTCGGTGCGGATGTTGCCTGTAATCCATGGCTTCTGGTTGGGATATGTACGTACGGTCACTGTGGGGACGATGTCGTCGATGCACTTATTGATGAAGCCGGTGACTGAGGTGGTGTGCTCCTCAATGCTATTGGATGAATCCCGGAACATATTCCAGTCTGTGCTAGCAAAACAGTCCTGTAGCGTAACATCCGAGTCATCTGACCACTTCCGTACTGAGTGAGTCACTGGTCCTTCCTGCTTTAGTTTTTGCTTGTAAGCAGGAATCAGGAGGATATAATTATGGTCAGATTTGCCAAATTGAGGGCGAGGGAGAGCTTTGTATGCATCTCTGTGTGTGGAGTAAAGGTGGTCCAGAGTATATTTTTCTCTGGTTGCACATGTGACATGCTGGTAGAAATGAGTTAAAATGGATTTAAGTTTGCCTGCATTAAAGTACCAGGCCACTAGGAGCGCCGCTTCTGGATGAGCATTTTCTTGTTCGCTTATGGCCTTATACAGCTCGTTGAGTGTGGTCTTAGTGCCGGCACCGGTTTGTGGTGCTAAATAGACGGCTATGAATAATATAGATGAAAACTCTCTTGGTAGATAGTGTGGTCTACAGCTTATCATGAGGTACTCCACCTCAGGCGAGCAATACCTCGAGACTTCCTTAATGTTAGACATTGCGCAGCAGCTGTTATTGACAAATAGACATACACCACCAGCCTTACTGGATGTAGCAGTTCTGTCCTGCTGATGCACGGAAAACCCAGCCAACTGTATGTTATCCGTGTCATCGTTCAGCCACGACTCTGTGAAACATAAGATATTACAGTTTTTAATGTCCCGTTGGTAGGATAGTCTCAAACGTAGCTCATCCAGTTTATTCTCCAGTGATTGCACATTGGCCAATAGAACGGATGGTAGAGGTGGGTTAACCACTCGCCGACGAATTCTCACAAGGCACCCTGATCTCCGCCCCCTGTACCTCTGTCTTTTCTTCACGCAATGATGGGGATTTGGGCCTGGTATATCACAAGTTCTGCTGAAAATCAACAAAAGACAGGTTGTTATATAATTTATATCTACTCAAAAATAGGGCTAATTTA